CCCCAAAACCCCAAAACCCCAAAACCCCAAAACCCCGAAACTTATTGATTAAATTGAAATATTAAAATGGCAGTCAGTGAAAGCAGTGTGGGTCAATATGTCAACGCAAGCTTTCAAGATTCTATCCTTTACGGTAGAGCACTAGGTACAACCACTCCATTGCAGAGAAGAGTTCAGAAAGCTATCAATAAACCTGAAGATGAGTCCTCAAACTTGTGGATCCTAGCTGGCATCATTGGAGGGTTTTGATTTGGATTTGGCAACCTGCTCATTGTGAAAGCGTCTCACTTTGGCTTCTATACAAGAGAGTTAATCTTACTTGGAGGCTTCCTTCAAGCACTTGTTTTCTTAATTGGGAGGACTATCCAAGTTAAATGGACTACAGGAAATTATTGGAACTGGGAGAAATCAGGATTCAGAGATCCAGACACAGGTGAATTTCGTTATATAGCAGTCTTTGCAGTCTTATTGGATGCTACTATTAAAGTCTCCGCTGGATATCTAGTTATTATATCCTTCAAATATGCATTATATGCTGGAGTCAATCAAGGAGCAATCACCACAATTTTTGCACTGAGCAGTATCTATGTGGCTATAATTTCTTGGTTCTTATTTGACGAAAAATTGAATAAATTCCACATTCTTGGGATGCTTCTTCTGCTCTCTTGAACAGTGATGATAGTTATTTCAAAAACTGAGCATAAAGAATTTGTGAGCGTCTATGGACACCAAGTTCAAGAATTGTCGACTCTCTGGCCAGTGGGATTTGCAATCATGACTACCATTATATATAGTTTTAGAACTATCTACATTAAAGTATTTGTTAAAAAGCTTAAATTCAACAGTTTTGATTACATTACTCAATCATACATGCTGTCTGGGCTTGTGTTCATGCCATTCACCATAAAAGATATGTTTTATTACAATTTTGACATGGAAATTATCACTCTAGGGGTATCCTCAGGTGTGCTGAATGGTATTGCCACCTTCCTATTGTTCTACTCAACCTCGCATGGATTCACTGGACCGGCATATGCATTGAAAAACATTGAGCCAATAGTGCAGGCCATATTCGGAAGCTTGTTCCTCGGAGCATTCCTTAATACAAACCAGATTATTGCTATTGTCTTTGGGATTCTTGGCTCCTTAACCATTACTGTTGGACCATACCTATTCCCTGATAAGGAAGCTGTAGCAAAAAGGTAAATTTAGGGTAATTTACAATATTTTTTAGAGCAAAGGAAGAAAGAGTCATGAGGAAAGTCAAAAAGAGATACTCCACTTCTAGATTCAAGTACTTTAAGTAGATTCAACAATACTTTGTGATTATATAGATAGATATTATCTCTTGTAGCTCTTTGAAATATCAATGTAAAAATATATTTGCAGCTTTTGGGGTTTTGGGGTTTTGGGGTTTTGGGGTTTTGGGG